TAAGTCAAATAGCTAATGCGCAATTGGCGTGACTCGGATGCCAAACCGCCCAGTGAGTTAAGTACCCTTATTCCAGAAACGGGGTACGGGCAAGCAGTCAAAGTCTTGCAGTGCATCTTTTATTGTTTTGTGTGGACCAGTAGTTGCTGCAATCCGTGTAGTGAAAGTTGACTTATCGAGGTTGAGACGCTTTGCAGTAGATGCAGGATGTTCATGACCTGAAGAATGACCCACCTTTGGTCTTTATTAGGCGGTTGTGTAAATAAGCCAATCACAGACAAATAACAATGCTAAAAAAATAGTACAGTGTTTCAGCAGCGAAGCATGATTTTCTCCAGGAGTTCTGGAAGCGTAAACATTAAATGCGTAATTGCCACATCATACAAAATTCCTGTAAGTGGAACTTTTAAAAACACAACTGTGCTTAGACCCACGGGAATTAAGACGTGCAAATTGAAGCAATTTTACAGCAACAAGTGTTCCACTTCTATTTACATATGCCGCTGGAGTTGGAGGCTTAAAATGCATAGCAGACAGCACTGATCCTGAAGCAGGAGCGTAAGTCTTACCATAGTACAGAAAAGTCGTTCCTTCCTCTTCATGCAGGAGTTGAAGGAAGTCATTTCTTAAGGATGTACTTTTACTAGTGGACCAGTTGATGGCGCAGCGGAAATCAGCCTATTTGCAAAATTTAATGGGGAAAACTGTGGTATGTAAGCCATTCAATTAGACGCTTGCATCGTCATTGCTGAGAGACTGTACCATTGCTATCGCAACGGGTTCCATTAAACGACTCCTCCATCTCCCACCAGTGGCAGAATGTCATTTGTGCATTTGTTAGTTGTTTATTTTCACCTCATAAAATTGGCTCTGGGATAATTTGTCAATGCGGTATACATCATTAGAACCACGGGGAGAAAGGGAATGGCGGCACGTTTATTATACCAACAACTGTTCCCCCTTCTCCACCACCTCGTCAGCGCAACAACCGCCAATCGCCGTCTGTGATGTTGCCACTTTACATTATTTCCCACTTCTTACACCGGTCCCACAGAGTTAGCTAAATAGTCTTCAATTCAAATGTTAGCGGCCAAGTCGTTACTCATTGGTACCTCTTAATCAGTCAGGCACATTGTGATACCTGGAGGAAACCCGTACATTAAATAAAAGAGCCGTCTTGTTAGCAGAAGTGCTTATTTGCCTCTTGGCTCTAACACAAAGGCGAGCGTCCACTACATTTTGCAAGTAAAGTGTCTTAAAGTATTTCAGTAAGCACTGGACACTTTAAATACTGATTTATTCCTGTTTAATGAGGGGATAAAGAAAAGCAACATCTGATTTTCAATTCTCAAATATACTTATAAATACGATTTCTATACCACTTAAAACTTGTAATTTGTTCTGTCTCAACATCCAAAATTGCTGACAAGTACCTTTTTGTATCGATGTCAAAAGTCACAATCAAATTTGACTGGTGATTTTAGAAACTGTAGTTTCACCTTTACTCGCACTTTCAGAGACTTTAATTGAAAAGTTAGGCGTGAATTTTGTTTTAACGTTATTTTCCAGCAAAACAAGGTGCTATGCCTGCTCGTTATACAGGGTGATATGAATTATAACCGGGTTGCGCGACTTCCCACGGTAATGGCCAACCCAAGAGGTGCTCCTATGGGAACATTAAAAGGAGCGTCTTATGGGCAAAATAATTTCCATTCCACCCTTACCACCTCATTTCGGCCCATCTTCAAGGCGTTTGCTGAAGTTTTTTTTTGGGGGGAGGGGGTTAAATACCGCCTCGAAGAAGAGCAGTGCCATTTCAAAATAACTGCTTTGTAAAACTTTAAGAATTAGTGATGCTCTCTGTTTGGACTGTGGATCTCACAGTTTCTAGTTTCAAATCCCACCTAGGAGTAATGGTGCCCTGTTCTCAGTGCTTTTCAAAAGACGCAAACTTCGTTACTACTCTCATGAAACCTAAAATCTGACCTCTTTAAAATGGTACCCTCAACTGGTTTGTCTAAATTACCGACAAATTTCGGTTGCATGATGATAAGAAAAAAAAAAGATTTTTGGCCAAGCTTCCTTCATTAGCACCGGCTGGATCCGCACGGAATCCCCCCAACTTCAGAATGCTAATTTGTAAAATCTCCAAAGTGGAATGACATGTATGCACAAGGGACTCGGAAGCGATAATGTCAGAGCGAAAAAAATAGTATTTTTTTCTGTTGTTTTTTAACCTCCTTATTTTAACATCACATTCAAGTTAAACTACCTCCCATGGCCTAATATTAATACAACATGAACACAGCAAGTAAATATCACTTCCAAATTAAGCTAAATTTGGAATTGGGAATTGCAATTCGTGCGTAGATGAGGTAATGTGGATGGTGTCAAGAAATTCTTCCCCAGCTTAAAAAAAGCTGCATTATTTTAAGCTGTAAAAAGAAGTGGTTTGTGCATCAAGGCCCCTTTTGGCAAGTTGACGAGATAATTACTGAAAATGGCCCTGGGGCATTGGAAGGGAGATTTTCCCTCCACCAAAACTACTTCACTACTTCTAGGCTGGCCTCGTCTGAACTAGATAGAACAAACTTGATCTTGCAGACAAAAGTGACAAAGCTGAACAGCTATTCCGTAGTTTAATGTCGTGTCGAGGAGGAATCCTCAATCACGCTGTCACATGCGGAGATGGATGAACAGGGTCAAATTGGGGTACCTTAAAAAAGTATTTCGGAATGACGCATTGAGCGGATCTTAGAAAATACCTCAACGGATGAGTGGGTAGCAAAATTAGTCTTTAGATCTTTGAGTTTGGATTTTGGATTTACCTATGACCTAAGGTTTCTTACTTTCAGGCAGGAAATTTGTAAGGTTGTCTATGTGCCTCAGTATACATATCTTTCAGCTGTCACATCACCAGTTCATTGTGTAGCTTAAAAGCATAGTGGTTGTGTTTATTGATATACAAAGGAAAAGAAAAAAAGTAAGCATTCATTTATGAAAGGCAAAAGTGATATTGTCAAGCAGTGCAGTGAATTATGCATAGGTCTTAAGTTCTGCAGTTTCTCCTTCACTCTAACCCCACTATCACGACCCCATGCATCCTCATGGATAAATTCAAAGCCCAAAGAAATCGTAATTTCCTTCGGTTGTTCTCGACACGACAAATCAGGATTTCATGAAGTGGATTCAGCTAGATTAATAATACCAATGTTAGACGCTGTAGCGCCCCAAGACTTCCAATAGGGCGGAAGAAGGCATTGAATGAGGCTGGATACATGTGTTACGAAGGGAACAGAGCAAATGGAGCTGAGCATGGCCCGAAGACCAGCCCACGTGTACAAGGGTCAAGCAAATCCTCAATTGACCGCCGAATATCAGGTAGTCACAAACAGAGCATTACAGGCGCAACCGATAGCTGAGACCTCAATCTACCGACGGGCGAGTAGTCAGTGTTTCCTTTTTAGCAAAGGAATACCTCTCTCGGGTGGTCTAGGAAAAAGTTTTTTGCACTATCAATAATTTGGATGCTTCGGTAGGTCCCAAGCTGGTGCCTTAGATATAATTTTCTCACTATTTTTGTGTAATACCTTGTTCGTGCTACTATCAACATGACTAGCGCCTTCATCTCCCTCCCTTCTCCGTAAATACATCAAATTAGCTGCACTTAATGCCCTCTTTCACATAGTGAGTATGATCAGCACGTTACACGGATGGCGGAAGAAAACAAAACAGCCTTTGTCAGGACTTCTACGAGGTTTCCATCTTTTGTGACGAATTCCTGGGAAGCGAAAGAAGATTACATTGCTACAGTGAGAGAATCTCTCACGTCTTGACAACAGAGGATCTGCGAATGATGTCTGCATTTGGCACCTACCCCATTTTTGTGTATCAAAAACAGTGGGCATTCCATTGGAGCGCTGAATACGTTATGGTGGATGGTACATAATGGCGCAATATCTTGTTTACGCTACAATCTGTATGTCTGACGGCCAATTTTGTACTCTTCTTGCTTTAAAAGGCGTGAGATGGCCTAGAGGCCAAGTCAAATCCCAAATCCTTCTCTTCCTCTCTGAAAATAAGTAATCAACGTTACTTACTGCCTTCTACCCAATGAGAAAACTGGGAGGGTCACAATGGATGATTATGAGGCATTTAAGGCGTAGCGCAAATGTTTAAATTTAAGGTAAAGGAAAAAAATTTTTAACTACAATGCTATATAATGGGCGTGTAGATGGCACTGTAAGGCTTTGGTTATGCCACCTGAAGTTTGGCTGTTGCTATAAAATTGTCTGGCTCTTGTACGTGTGGGCTGGCCTCCGGGCCATGCACAGGCCTAGCCGCTTCTTTCTCTTTAGAATACATGTATCCCGCTTCACTTACTGTCTTCTTCCACTCGGTGGGAAGTCTTGGAGCACTACAGGCGCATTTCTCCAAAGCCGGTCGAATTGGCCTTAAAGCACAGATCCGCTCGTCAGCCGATCATTTAAATTCTGCTCTTGTAATGCCAAACAGTTCCATTTCAACCATATGTTTCTTGAGACTGACCTTTAGGAAAGAGGCTTAGTTACGACTCTTTGAGCTCTCAATTAATTGGTAACTCTTGCCATCTTGATGGGCACAATGGAATTTGCTTATTATAGCCGAAAGGAAATCGAATTGCTCACTAGGCGCGAGAATTCCCTCGTCGTTCCCTAAACCTGAGCGTATCGCTTGAAATTTTTATTCATGGCTTAAGTCTTTTTATGTTAAGAATATTATAGTAATGTATCCACTTAAGCTCTATTCTAAAAAGTCTCTTAGGGGCTTAAGGGCTTAGCATATTTTACCCTTTTTGCCATTTTCTATCAAATTCATGTACCCAATCCCATTCTAAAACCTTAAAAAATCAGTGACTAATTTTTTATTGCCTTATATAAATTTAGTGGTTGTCTATCATAGGCTTTTATCGGCGACTTTAAAGTTAATGGGAGGTGACAAACTAAATTGCTTTCAAGGTTATGTCCGCTGCTTACAAAATTGTCCCCCAATTCTTCATTGGTCTGCGCAATGGTAAGTTGCATGCTGCTCTTGTTACGGAATCTTAGGTGACTAACTTCATTTTCGAGGATTTTATTAACTATGTAGGAGCTTCCATCATACAGTCCAATAAATATCTTCGAAAATATGAGCCCATTGAAATTGTTTTACAAACGCTTTTTGGTTGCGTTACTGTAATATTGGTGATAAGAATCCTCAATGCACTCTCTCGAGGCTTTCGAATCAAGGCTTTTTTGTTCAAACTTGTCACCAGTCTCCCATATCTACGCGGAATTAAAAATAGAGAGCTCCGAGAAGCTAAGAAGTGCGTTTTCGAAAGTGTTCATGGCAAACTTGACAAGCTTGGATATCGAACCTCTTTACCCTCGTCATCTAACTCAATCGTAAGTTCTGGCATGGTATAAGTTACTGCGTCTAGGGTGAAGTTCTGAAGATAGCAGAGTCCTATAGCTCAGGTTCTGTTGTGTCGTGGAAGGACGGACGAATGTCAGGGGCTGTCTATCCTCTCAACGATGAATTGAATGAATTACTAATTGAAGTGAGACCCTGGAGTCACCTCTAAAAGATTGTATCTTATGCTTTTTGTCACTTCGACTAGAGAAATGATTCTGTAATGCAGAACTGTGTGAAGTAACTTTCTTTTATGTGCCAGGCCTGATTGTGTGCTCATTGCGATCTCCCAGTGCAGTGGTTTTTGTTGATGCTGGTGAGTTGGGTCTTCATTTTCTAACGGACAGGTGGTTAATTTCAGATTCAAAAGATGACCCTCTGGTCCAATCCTTTGCACGTGGATGCCTTTCCGACTATTCGTCGCATGGAAGCGGAGGTGGTTCGGATGTGTCTTACTATGTTCAATGGGGATTCTAAAAGTTGTGGCACTGTAAGTCTGTTTCCAGAAATTGTTCCCTTGTGGTAGAGACACTGCCATTTTATACGTTTCATCACTTTATAGTGTGGTTATATTTACGCCTGAGTTAATTATATGCTTGTTCAAGTACAATTTTCCGTTGATGATACCTCTTAATGCAGGGTGTCACCTTCAATTGTTTCGGTAATTAGTGGCTTATTCCACCTCTTTGAAGCTTAAAATTATAGGGCTTGAACGTCCTTGCTTAAATGGGAGTGATCTTTTGTAGTGCATTCACTTATCTAAATTTTTAGATGACTTCTGGTGGCACAGAAAGCATAATGTTGGCATGTTTGGCCTATCGCAATCGTGCCTACAAACTTGGTATCAATGAACCCGAAATGTAGGTAATGTTTAGATTTACTATGCATTTGGTCATCTGAGTGTGAAATGGTTATCCTTCGTTTTTGGTTTGACAGTAGGTCATTTTGATGCTTATTTCAATGCCTATATGTGCACAATTTTCTGTCCTCGTGTCCACTACGTCTCAATTTACCTTTTTATTGCGAATGAAATTGTTGTGATGATTTACTGTGATGGCAAGGTTGGTCTGGGGCATCAGTCTTTACGATTCCCTTCATGATTTCGGCTGTTATTTGTGGCTTAGATTCTAAGCTAATCTTTCGGCTCATTCCAGCAGAGGCGAGAGGGCAAGAGAGAAAATATTTGAGTAGAATCGCATGACAGTGTCATGGGAGTCGAATCTAGAGAGACTGAAGAGGTCTGCGCAATCATGTGCGTAACCAGGTTTTACTGGATTACAAACATTCTGCATGGCACTATGTGCACTTCCATCATGCATTTTACATCTATTTTCTTGATTGTGGGTGAGACGATCTAATATTGACAAATGCTACTGCGTAGCTGGACTATCCTATCTGAATAATACAGGTCAGCCACTTTGAGTGGGATGCAGCTCAGGTTTTTTCCGCAGAAATAGTTTGCAAAACTGGACCCACTTTTGGGTCTGAAAACTTAATTGGCATTGCAGCTCTTGAACTCAGGAAAATGGCTTCAGACAAGTCAATGATAGCTATCATGCACAGACCTTTACATCCTACCATTGCACTCCATTGGTAATCGTTCTACTAGTCTGTTTTTTTTCGTAGGGTCATTCCCGTCTCAGCTCATGCCGCTTTCGACAAGGTAACGTATCTTGATCCCACTTTATCTTATTTATTTGCAAAAGTGGAGTTAAATTTTATACTTAATAACCTGTCTATGATATGAATATGCTTGTCTGTTTTTGGATAGTCGAATACAATCTATTGAACTTGCATTCACAATTATTACCGCTCTCCTGTCTCTTTGATCTTTGGTACATGGATGCTAGCATAGCCTATAGTTCTGTGATTCTCTTAAATTTTCGGGAAATTTGCAAAGATATGGCAAATAAATAGTGGTGTAGTCAATGCGTTCCATGAATCTTACTTCGTTAAGAAAGGCTTTTCTAGTTTTGAGATCGTGATAGTCGTCTGGACGATGTGAGTCGGAGTCAGGCTTGTGGGATTCCCAGAATTGAAGCATTTGTGTTGGAGTTGTGCACTTTTTCAGGCGCCTCATTTGCCCCAAACTCTTCGTACAGTCTCAAGATAGATTTGCTCGAATTTAGATGACTTGTTTTGGGGTATAGTTATCTCCAAGACAGAGCCTACATTCTCTTCACATATGTTAAGTGGTCGTTTCCTTCCAGGCCGGCAGTATGATGAATATTCGAATAAAGAAGATTCCCCTTGAACCCAAGACATTCAAAGTCGATTTGAGAGCTATGAAACGTGCTATCACACGAAGAACCTGTATGGTAAATTTTTTTTCTCACATTTCTCATTTTGTGCTCAATTACCAAATTTGGAGTCACCTATTTGCCAGCTTATTTGATGAGGGCTGGAATTGTTATTGGCTCACATAAAGGTTTAGCCTGTCCTTTACTGTTGAGCATATTACGATGGCTGCCGTTAAAGGACAGTTGTGGTGTAGCCAGAAACTATACTGTCAATGTAGCAGTGGTTTCAATCATGTTTTGTCATATCTCTAATGATGTCTAATTATCTCATGTCTCCGTTTTTCTGCTTTCTTTACACGCTTTCTATCAGCATCACAAATACATGATGTCTCATTATGCTTATCCGAATCCAGTGACATGAATGTGGCGTGAAGATTAGGTTCTTTTGCGCCAGGATTTCGAAAAGTTGACAGATCCGTCGACTTAATTCAAGCATGATGGATGTAGGGTGATGCTCTAATGGGTAATTTTTTGTATTTTCGATGGTAGATGTTGGAAAATGGTGATGACGACCGTGGTGATAGAGTTCCTTTCAAGACTTGGGACAAAACTTGGTCACTTTAGGTGCCCTACTGGGCACCCGCAATTCTGTTGCTAGGGCATGTCTGAATTGTGAGATTCATTGATACTGTAATTCAATTGGCTAAAAAATCTTGGATTTACTGGTTTTATTTTGAGCGGGAAATATGGAGAGAGAGGACGTCTTGTCGTGTGTGCCCAAGCATGCATAGTTTGGCGTTTTTTTTGGCATTGTATGGTCCATACTTCATATGTGCCTGTCAGTAGTTCTGTAAAAAAAATTGTTTTCAACTCAATCCATGTGAAGGCATATGTGCGGCTTTGAGAAAACTTCAGTTACTAGGCTTACACCACTGCTGGAGGGAGCTTTATTCAGAGTTATTATTTATCTCTATCTTGTCCCATCTTTAAATCGAAGATCTTTAGTTAAACATCCGTAGGGCGCTTCACTATTGTCTGTCTACTGCGTGGAATTTCGCCGAAGAAAGTATGTGGTAGGCGTTTCACTGTTGAACTCCCCGCGAGGAGATTTCACTTTGCATCGCTGATTGACTGCTTAGGACATAATTCTTGATAAGTTTTAGCTGAATTTCTCAAACTATTTTTAGCTCGTCGGATCCGCTCCTCAATACCCACAAGGAATCATCGACGATATTGAGGGAATATCTAAGGTGCGTGGGCTCTTCCATTATCTCTCATCATACCCACACCCTTGAGACCACATTTTAAATTATTGCCGTTGTTTTGTATGTTCTCAACAAAAAATGAGGCTAGATTCTGTCCCATAGTGTAGAGACCCTTGGCTTGAGGAATTGGATGGGCGATATCATGCCCTCCCACGGAGTTCAAGGTTATCCCAAATTACACGGACTGTCACAGCATAATTTAAGAAAACATCCTGAAAACGTCGCAAGACATGCAAGTCTGAAAGGTGCGTGGCGGCAAGGCATGGGAGGCTGAAAATTCATCCAGAAACAGGGTTACAAGAGGCATTATTCGGCTACACCAGATGAAGATACTAAAGTTGGGTTTCCTTTTTTAGTTGGGGGCTTCACGATGCATTCCAGTTCACGTCGATTGTTGCCTAGGTGGGTTTCTAGTCCCCTTTATGGAGGAGGCTGGGTTCCCCCTTGACCTGTTCGATTTTCGTCTCCCCGGTGTTACCAGCATCTCCTGCGATACCCACAAGGTGAGATTATGCACCTCTAATCCCTTACTTACCACCTCATACACCAATCTCTTTTTTTAACCATTGCATCCTCTGTAAATATCGCTAACCCTCCTTGCCCAGGGGCTTAAACCCTGGCACTAAATCATTTAAAGGACGTAAAACTGTGTACAGCATTTGTGAAAGTTGACATTTCTTCACTGCAACCTTTTTTTAAAATGGTTTTGGCAGTCTTAGAGAGATAATTTGCTTAGCATCGCGATATTTGCACTGCGAGAACAGCTGTCTTGATTACATTAGCACTTTTACTAGACTACTTGCAACAGTCTCGGTTCCTACATCAAGGGTCCGAGTTGATCAAAGTCTACGGCTATAAAGCCGCACTAGTACAATTGTCTTGCAGCTCTATGCAAGATTAACAACCTATTTCACCCCAATGCCATTTGTTTTACACCCAATTGGCAGGGGGATTTGATGAAAAATGGGTTGATCTCCGTTTTGCCGCAATCAACAGTTTCATCGGAATACCTGCTGATCCGAAAACGTTCTTGCTTTGATTTCTTAGGCATTCTGCTAATGCCTATTCTCTGAACCTTTCGGATTGTACACTTGCTTATTTTTCCCAATTGTACCCCATCAACCAGCGATGCATGGACAGTTGCCCGAAGGTCAAGGTCAATGTGTTGCAATATTTGTGTGTGGCTAAGGTTGCTGAGGTAGGGAAACTGTTTTATCGAGCCAATGAGTGGGGCATTTTGTGACTCTTGGTTTCATGTCGTGTCAGCAGTATGGATGTCTCCTCTGAAGTCTAACTTTTGGCGGATTGGGAAGTCGATGGGGTTTAGCCTACTCGCTCACGACCGCAAAGTCAAAGTCATACAATTGTTACATAGGCGAATTTGTGAGCAAGAATTGGCTTCTTTTATTGGTTCGAAGACATTCGACATCCTTGTTTTCCTAATAATGCAGGCGTTCCACTCTGGAGTGACATTTCGGAGCCTCGCAACGCTAACTATGATCTCAGTGCATTTAAATGACGATTAGACGAAAGTCAAAATCGTGTCTCTACAAGTTCCCCCAACAGTCGGTAATTTTGCAACCTACAACACTTTGATCCCATTAATGAGGTAATTGTACCCATTAGTTTTAGTGACCTCTTCTACTACCTTTTAGTATGGATTCGCAGCAAAAGGCTCCTCTGTGATAATGTACCGCAGTAAAGCGCTTCGAATAAACCAATTCTTCCTCCTTCCTGACTGGTCGGGTGGAATTTACGCATCTCCGACTTTTGCTGGTTCGTTGCACGGTTTGGATGATCGAATTGGAGTGCAAAGTCTAATGATAATTTGTTTTTTTGGCTGCAATTGACCGCATTTTACTCATTTTCGAAGAAAAACTGCACTATACTTCACCATATGGTTTTGACAGCCTCCTAAAGATTTTGGTCCGCAGTTTCCATAGCATCAGAGTTCGGCATGTCGTATCACCGACTTATTAGTCGGCTGTGAGGTGTGTTAGACGATTTCTTTGCTCAAACCAAACACTAAAAGCAGGACGACTTTGTAGTTCAAAATCATGCAGCTCATGGCTTCACTACTTTGCAGTCACATCTTTGTGTACCTTCATGTGCAGTGCACATTCTCTTTACTTCATTGATGCGTACTTTCGTCATGTGACCTGAAGTCTGCCTAGTTCACTCCCCTAACAATGCCAAAAAGAAGTCAATCAACACTAGGTAATGTGATACTCGATTTTGGGGCCCAATTTGGCTTTTGTGGGGAAGTTTGCATTCCTACTGACTTGTATTAAACGATTTGGAATCGAGGTATTACTATAAGTGGAGAAAACTTATTCCTTTGTGCAACCAAAATGGTCCTTTTTTGTGGGATCAGAATGTGTTCTCCGGATCGTGAAAAGTTGGCACTGAATTTTTATTTTATCACTTATTTAGCACTTCCATTCTAAATATTTTTATCAATCAACTCAGTATGAATGGGCGAAAGCTCAACAACCAGCTGAAATTTGATTGTCTTGGTTGGAGCTCTGTTCATTATGGTTTTTTGGACGATTTGTTCAACAATCTGTTGCTGCTTTTCGTGAAGGTAGACTCTGGACAACTCTCCCAGGCTCATTTGTCAATTCTCATTTAATGATACGAGTTATTCTTGTTTGCCCTTTGCATTGTCCTACACTACACTACAATTGTGCTGACGGTTTTGAATATCTTTACTGGCTCTGCAGGACAACATTCTACTTGAGGCTTTATCAAGCCCATTTATACATTTAATTTCCTTCTTCAAGGAAGTCGTTCGGGCGCTCTCATTGCAGCCTGTTGGTCGGCGATGATGTACTTCGGTCGGGAGGGCTATGTAAGCTCCACTAGGCGTATCGTCTCCACGGCTCGCATCATTGCTAAGGGGTAACCACTTCATTGCCTATATGTCTTACTTTAGTTAGAAGAAAAAGGTGAACGGATGTAGCGGTCGTAGAATTCAAAACCTTTTGAATGGAAAACAATTCCTTTGGCTGATTATTTGGAAACATGGGGCAACTTCCATTATTTTTTGACTTTTTGTTCAATAGGATTGACCCCACTTAGACGAAAAAGCAACTTTTACCATGTATCGAAGGATTTTTTAACTTAGATTAGTCGATTTCACCTTGCTATTCATGTCATTGTTAGCGCTACCATGAATCAATCTAGTAAACGGTGTGTGGCCTAATCCTCATTTTATTCAACTTTCCTGATGTCAATTAGAGGTAGAAGACTCTTGGACTAACGGAAGAAGAGCCAAGGAAGTTTGGCGGCTTGTTGCTTATTACCGTCATTATAGCGCTAATGTCGGCTTGATGAGGTGTGCGGGTTCTGCAGATGGGCTGAAGATCTAGTATTATGAGTATGGTTCTTAAATTTTTGGCTACGGTAAGAGCCTACATGCACCTACAACGATCGCCACTCTGGTGCAATAACCTTGCGTCGGCTTCTCCATTCCCTTTAACCAGCAAAGAAAAGCTTAAGGGAGTAATAACTTACCGCTAATGCAATTAAACGGGTGATCCTTTACTTTCAGGGTGGAACGAACCCCCGGACTACGCGTGTTGGGTGATCCGAAGGTGAGTGTGGTCGCCTTCACGTCGGACGCCTTTGATATCTACCAATTGGCGGAGTTGATGTCACATCATCCTGACGGCTCGCCCAATTGGAGTCTCAGTGTCCTCCAATATCCTCCGGCAGTGCATCTCTGCGTCACTGATCTTCACACCCAACCTGGAGTCGCGCAACTCTTCCTTGACGATCTCAAAACGGCAGCTGAGCACTTACTCAATGCTCCCAAGAGCGAATCCACTGGCATGGTCAGTGTGATAGTTCGCAAGTGCTTTCAAACTGCACATCTTGATCACTAAGCTATTACAACCAGATGAGGTTGTTTATTTTTCAGATTTCATTTGTTAGCATAGATTTTTTATGGATGACCTGTGTCCAGGCAACACAAAGTTCAGACCCGGAGATTAGGCACTTACCGAAGTTCAAAATCCCTCACTTCTCTGTTGCCATTTTTTGCATAGGGCAAACCATCCATAGCGTTAATATTATGGGGCTTCAGAGATTGTCACGTGAGCGTCGTGAGGAGGCCTTTGTTATTAGAAAGCTGACAACGTTCTCTTAGTAGTCAGTGCAATTACCTTTCTGTTGTAGCATTCTGAATTGGAATATAATCTTGAAATTTAAAGTTAAAACAATGCTAGTTCTCACTTCATGCTTTAAGACGTAAACGCTTCCCTTTTTCTTGCCTACCCTGAGAATACCGGTTCTTACTGACGTTTGTGTTGGCCCATGTAGGCGGCAATTTACGGGATGTGCGCAAAAATCCCCGATCGCTCACTGGTCGCCTCTGTGGTGGCGAGTTTCCTCGACGCCTGCTACGCAACCGAGGGGCTTGATGACTAGAAGTCCACCGAGGGCAATCTTCTCTCCTCCCTCCTCTGAGGTGATTTTGACTATTTCTTTTAACTTTCTTCTCAACTGTACTGACTTTCCTGAACCCCAATCAAAAAACCTCTTTCGTTTTAACTTTGGTTGGTGGGATTGATATTAGATAATTTCCGCTAGTAGAAATTGGGGATTTATTTCTCCCTCAGCTTTTGCTATAGAGAGGTTATTCGCATTTCTCGCCTCTCCCTGAATAATTACTTGCGAAGAATTTGGTTTCATTGAACTAACAGTCTCGTACCGATAACTTTTTAATACCTTTTATCATTTGGTATTATCCAAATTAAAAATACTTGGGAAATCATTATTAATGTAGGGTCCCGAGATCTCCCACTAGCTAGAAGAAGGCGTTAAGTTGGACTAACTTCATGCATTCTAGGAAGATAAGAAGCGATTGGGCTTTGACTTGGCCCGAAAGTCAGCCCTCGCGTACAGGGCAAGACGAACACCAAATAACCGCCAGACCTACAGGTAGTCACATAAAATATTACAATGAATACTATCAGTTCACTTACTATAGCACACTGAAACGGTGATCTTGGGTGAATCTCGTCCATATGTCTCTATCAATCTAGATTTTACGCTTGGTGTATGCATAACCCTCACATTCTGGTTGGGTGTGAACGACACCGAATCATTCGTGGTTCCTGGTATAATAAAAGGTACTAACTTGTAACAAGATCTCCAGTCGGTACTGCTAAGCCGGAGGTTAACTATATCAAGGCTTTTGTGAAGTCATGATGAGTAGCAAAGAGAGCTGATTGAGTGGAGCGGAAATTGTTCCGATAAGTTTATCTAAACCATGTGAGTGTGGCTTGTTAAGCACATTTTTTCAGGAAGAATTAATCTACCAAGACCTATTTTCATATTTCCTCATCAAGAAGCAGTAGAAAATAGTCTTGTCTTCACAAAACAGTAAGAAGTCCTCTAGAGAAGACCAAATCAAATACTATTGAAGGCAACATAATCATTTATCCTGTCGGAATAAGCTTGAATGCTGATAACACTAGTTCCCTGAGACTTCACTAAAGTCGAAAGTCGACATAGTTTTAAGGAAGGAAATGCATTGCCGATGCGCCGGGCGGATGGAACACCGGAATAAGTAGAAAGTCTAGCATTTTTCGTCGAATTCTTACAACTTTTGGAGCACTTTGTCTTCGGTAGTGGAAAACGGACCCTATCCTAAAGGTTGGTCACCCCTATTTCTACTTCCGAGTAATGACTGAAACTTTCCAAAATTTCCCATTTGGTAGCAGAGTAAGTAACATTTGGCTGAATGTTTGCATGCAAGCAGAAGGAGTTGGTGTGAGGCTATGACCTGGCCCAAAGTCAAGCCCACACGGCAGAAAAAAACTTCCGAGGTTTGCCATTTAAACAGGTAGCAAGATAAACAAAGCATTACGATGATACTTAGCTGAGCAAGTGAGGGACACTTGCCACGGATAGTCAAATGTGTAATAGAGAGACTTAATTTGACCTCTGGAGGTGGGCCGTTTTCGTTGTCTGAATGAAACTGTGGACAGCTGATTATGGTTTAAAGAGGATTTCTATTGTAGTTGCTTAAGGTTATGGAATATGTGAAGACTACATACACCCCTTGACTCTCATCCAACTGAGAAGATTGTAGGGGCAGAAATGTGGCAAATTTGCAAAACGTGCATGGTCCTGTTTTCAGTCTATTCAGTAAGTCTGATTCTACATCAGTGTTTCCGGTTATGTGCACAGGTGATACTAAAGCAGGACGTTAAACAATGATAGCTCCCAACGTAACCCGCAAAAGCGGACAAGGACAATGTAATATGTTTGCTGTTATTCCCTCAGTTACGCCGGCCACTGTAGTACTTTGCTTATGTGATCACATGACGTTTGGCGGTCACTTGAGGAGTTATCTGGCCCTTGTACACGTGGGCTGGTCTTCGGGCCATGCTCAGGTGCGTTAGCTTTGTTTTCTTCAGGCTACATATATTCAGCCTCATTGCCTTCTTCCACCCTATTGGAAGACCCGGGACGCTACAACCACGTTGTTCTTCTCTAAGCAAGCTGGCTTGTATGTCGTGTTAGCGACTTCTATCCTCTACTCATTGATAAAATATACGCTCACCTTGCTGGAACAACGCGTCTACTTGCATTGTTATGAAATTCATGAGACTCGAAATTGGGATCCATGCAGTCAAAATCAGAGCTTGATGATGTAATGCTTTGTTTATGTGACTCCCTGACACCTAGTGGACACTTTAAGATTATCCTGGTTCGTGTACGCGTGGACTGGCCTTCGGACCATGATCAGGTTTAAATATTTTGTTCTCCCTAGAATACATGTATTCAGTTTCACTTGCTACCTTTTACCATGTGGGACATCGCAGTACACTACAGATTATGCCTCAAAGACTTATGTGCGAACCATTCAGAGGAGTGAAAAAAACTTTCTACAGTAGAATAGACCTTTAATGATTTTAAATTCATTAAAATAAAATTGTCCATAACTTTTGTTTTATGTAGATGGAAATATCCTGATACCACATAAATATATCAAATGAAAAGTTTAATAGCGGATCAACTTTTAGTGTTGATTTGATCATGCATAAATAATTCTATTTGCGATAATTATTTTGTTTGTTTGCACTGATGAAGAAAATTCTCCAGTCATGTAATCTTCAGTTACTTTCAAAAAGGCGTGCTTCACCGTAGTCGCGTGTTTTGGGTGTTCCGCGATTTTCGGGTGTTGCATCTCTCAGCTCCTTGTTTGACGTACTCTATGATGGATCCCAGACGGTACAGAGCTAACTGCCGGTCAGGTACAATTGGTTTTATTACTTGACTTCACATCATTTTAGTATTAAAGCCGGAATACCTTAGTTCTACTGAGATTGTGAACCGTAGAGTCAACACGAACACTGCTCCGGTTTACTCTGACGGATATACCGCTCCGATGAGGAGTCGCCATGAGCGCTTTGCAACTGGTATTCACTCATTCCCAATTAATTCCTTTTAGGCCAATCTTATAGTGTAATCAGAGCCCATTATGCTAATAATCCAAACTTTGTGTATCACAAGCGTTTCCATAATGAAGACGGTAGAAGCAAGCAGCCTGGTCACAATCAAACTGAGCAGTTGCGGCGCTCCAGAGAAATGGACATGTTTAAGGACATTGGTTTTAATTTTGACAATGAGGTTCTGAGGGCCGTCCGATTCATGTATTCGGACAGGCGCTCAAGTAGCAGTCAGAACAATTTGCGAGTGACGAAAAAAGTTAACCTATCCTCCACGCATTCTGTGGTGCGCGTTGCCACTCGTCTTTCCAATCGACTGTTGTCTTTGTACGAGCGGAATCTCATAAAACGCATTTTGATCAGCATGCATGAGAACGTCAACGAAGTCACCTGCAGAAGATTGCTGTTGCGGCTTGTCAAAGCACCATCAGTGCCTTGCACACCCAACTGTTCGTGTTGTCAGCGCATAACCACGGAAGGATTTATTTCTCCCTCTTTCTCCAATCAGAAGTACAATGGTGACGAAGACATTGGTTACCCTCCCATGGGTGCACGATGGGTCGGTTCGACTGTGAGTGACAGTAGGCACTTTGCACTGCCTCCAGAAAACGGTCCATGTCCTATGGAAGTGAGTGACAAATCCTTGAGTCAGTCACTCTCTCTCGACACTAGTCCCTTTTCTGATCCTTGCCCAACCCCACCGACATCCCTTGTCGAGCCCTCCGTCAATGGCCATCACGACCGTTTAGCTGCGGATGACTTAATCTCTAGCAGTAGCAGTTGCAACTCTCTGTAATGGGATTTTGTAAATTTTTTAGATTTGTATTTTTCGTATATGTGCTTCTCCCTGCCTTTTTGTTTTAACTATCATGCGTCCTATTCTCAGCTATTGGCACTGGTCATGTAGTCCTCTATGATTTGTGTACCTATGATTATGACGCACTCGCAGTTAAGCTCTGTGTCCAACTCCCTGCCCTTTGCTCCCTCCAACCCCTTGTGTTATTTTGTATTCCCCAACCTGTTTTAATGCTATTATGTACTACAAACTGACTGTCCTGGAGGATATTGTTTTGTTACCATGTACAAACTTTTACTTGTAAGCAATGTCTTATATCTCAAGGTACAGGGTTTTTATTTTTGTACTTGGGAGACGTTTACTTGCTAGAAATCGTTTTAGTGGTCTAATTTGAAAGGAATTTGGAGGTTAATAGATGGTTGGCTGCTTGTCTTCCATGCTCACCAACCAGAGTTGGGATGTTGCTAGGATATCATCATCACTAAGTTGAAATGGGGTGTCTAGTTGCTTTGGCATCAGTGGTTTCTGGTTGGCTTCTGCTTCCGCTTCCTCAGCGCGGACAGATATTGTGATCTTCACGAGCCACCACCGCTGCCACAATTGATGCCACTCAGTCTCCATGTACAAGCAGAGTACCCCTCGGAGTGGATGAGACACTGCTCGGCAAGCAAAATCTGGAAACACGCAGCTTCTGGTGCATCTCACAAAGGTTGGTAGCGTCACACATTGACGCAAACAGACATGAGTGATGAATTGTGTGCGTGTTTGCTGGTGACCTTGTGAATATGTTGGAGGGGAGGGAAGATTTGCTAGTAAAAAAAATTAAGGAGCCTCGAATAGTGCACCAGCAGGTATGTAAGCGTTTTTTCCTGGATGGTGGTATTGGACTTCTTCTAGGCGCGCACAAAAACAAATCGATGTGTGGTTGGTCATCGATTTTCGAAGGAATCCAGGGTCTCCCTCTGGATGCGAATTTAAGAGTACTGTGGGCGGAAAGGCATAAGGTGACCAGTTGGTGTGGACTAAAGCATGCATTTCCTCCATTTCATCATCGTTGCCACTGACCGGGCACTTACTGGTGGGTGCTCAAACACGAAGTACGGAGGAATGCCATCGATAGTTGTATCACCATTTGATCAGCGATTGCTTCATTTATCCTCCAAACTACTTAGATCAGTTCTGAAGCCCAGTTTACTGTTGAATTTTCGCTTTTATTTCGGACGGAAATGCTTTGTTGTATTAGAAGATAAACATAAAGTTCGTTTAACTCAAAAAGGTAATTGAGCTAATGTTATGGGCAAGTGAAGCTACTATTGTAAATTGGTATTTTAGGAATTTACATCCATGCTTTTTTCTGGTTCACGGTACCTTGAATCCCTTATTAGGTGATCATTACTTCAACTCATTTTGAATTCACTTCCAAGCCTCTATAAGGGAATCAGTCTAAACCTTTGGGAGACAATAGGCTTTATTGCGTTATCTTCAAAATTTCTCAATACATTCCTAAAACAGACATAATGCTTTTAAATCCTGGTTACCCTCCTTGAAAATGTATTGTTGGATAACTCTGCAAGACTGGACACATGTTCCAATTTACTTGAATTGCATACACCCCTGTTGTTTTGCCTTGACCAAATAGTTTACCGCTGTACCCATATCAATCTTTGTAAACTTTCGCCTGGCCTATAATCAACAATTTTAGCTCTCTCTCCCATTCTGAGACACCGATTCAGCTATCACAGTGGTGTCACTGCTCCTATTACGTCTACCCTCGTTGTCCATTGTCGTGACTGCGGCGGTGGCGGTGGTAGTGATTACGTGATAAGTGTAGCATGGGCTTTTGGCGGCAGGCCAACAACAAACACCCGCACACCACTTCCAAGGCAATAGGACCAATCACCAAACCCCGTGTTACGTAGTCACAATGGGGCGTAACGATTACGCAAGTATGGCCAGAAACCGAGCAAGCCATCTTAAATAACTCCTCCAGCCCTAAATTAAGGGGACTTTCTTTTAGCAGTGTCGAATAAAAGGCTAAACCCATCCCCCTCTTTCTCTACCAATGAGGATGGGAGTATTTAGGGACTAATAATTATTATTTTTTTGCTTCTGGTACTTTGTACCACAACAACTGCGCTTTCCATGCATGTAGGTGCCAAGTGCTTTCCCCCTTGCTTCTTTTCATTGTGCTGTCTACTATAAATCAAACATTGTGTAGGGATGCTTGTGTGTGGGCGGAGATGAGGGTATGTGCTACAGGGGGCAGAGGTGGAAGAGGGTGGAGGGGCGGAGTGAGGCAGACATTATTGATGCTTTTGTGTGCATGCATACACATACCTGCGCACACACGAACGCACGAATACTCGGGTGCGGCAGACTTGAACACGCACTCGCTTCCATTGTGTGTGTGTGCATGCGGTGCCTTAGTTAACTGAATAACCTTGAGAGAGTATTGTTTACTGTATGCACACTCACCCACTACTTCCTTATCACAGCGACCTCCATTCAGGTGAAACACTCACACTGCTGCGCCATGCACCAAGTAATCGACCTTTCAAGTTTCCGCCCTCTCGTTCTCCAACTCTGAGTTGTGTGAGATTTATTTAGATTAACTTGGTAATTGCTACTTTCCTTCCGCCATAGAACCACAACCCCCCCTCTCCTCCTCCTCCGAATTGTGTCAAATACAATCCAAACACAAATCGAGAATCTCTGTGTTGTGACGACGTTCGCAATTGTAAAACCTGGTGTTGGTGAATGCACGAGTCTGAACAGGGTAGACAATGGGGGTCATAAAATTTGCAACCTAGTAGTACTTCCACTAGCGGCATTTAAATGCTACTTCCGGTCACCCTCGACGCGCCAAGTCATAGTGTCCACGTGTTAAGGTATGTGAGTATGTATGTATACAGACATATTGTAAGAGTGCGCAATTAACAATTCCACTTCATGTATGTCAGGGGGTGTGTCATGTCCGAGAAATGGCTCGCCAATGCCAGCATCACCGCCACCATTGTCGAATCAAATCAAAATTATCGCCGTTGGTAGTGCGAAATGCCGCCACTAGGCTTTTATGATTCTCCAAATGGCAAGACACCACCTGGAACCCATGCTTTCGTCTACGCACAGCTCTGGCTACGCCTAATCCACTGCTCGGTTGAATGAATAAAAGGAACTGGAAATACAATCATCGCAATTTAGAGTTCTCATCACCCTAAGATGGCGAACTATCAGTCCACGGCATTTCAAAGCTGACAGCTCACCATACACCACTCATACACTTTACCTTCCTAGATGCTACGAAGTCTCATCTGAGATTCCAAGTCTCATATCCAATAATGCTCCTACTTGGCAGCTCATTTTATGGGTTTTTACGTTGGCAGTAGAAGGTTATGGACGAAATTTATCGTGGTTTGGTCTGTATTTTGGAATTTCGCCATCAAACCAAGTAACACAGCATTTACTAATTCCTTGTTCAGCCAGGTAAATAGGTGTGATCGCCAGGCATGACCCTAATAAGAGGATGTCAGTCAAGGTCAGATTCACACCCAGGACGCCTGACGTTACATTGTTTTGGTAGGGTTGAGGCGCAATTGAAAGCGTGAGCAGAACTGCTGCTGACTCACACACATACACATACAAGGTCTTTCTGCATTTACGCACGAGCACGTACATAGCCAGACGGCTAAATGGACTGGTCAGTGACGTCGGCGCCGAGCTATCGTCCACCACAACTGGTGCGTAGTGCTGATGGCGATGATTTGTGCATTCGTGCACGTATAAGTACACTACGGCTTTTGTTTCAAGGAACGATGAGTGTGTTCAACCTAACAATGTGAATAGCATTTCGTCTCCTCAAAACTTACCTGACTGGTCTTTTCTAATTCCACTAGCCGCGTCGGCCTCACATTTTCTAATTTGCAAACGAAAAAAAAAACGGTTAAAAATTTAGTTTCTGCATTACTTAGAATGAACACCAGCTTCTGTTTAAAAACAATAATACAAAAATTGCGAAATTAGCTGGCTCATAGGCCACAAACCGCACCCAAATTTTGAAAGGAGCGCATCCCACTGCGAGTGGATGAAAATGTGTATCGATTATTGATTTAATAGCAGAGGTTCACACGCAAACACGTCCATGGGGTCGTAGCTGACTTCAATTCGCATGAATCATCAACGCCGGTTGTCTGTGGAAGGGTGACCTTCGAAGGCGACATTAGTGAGTAAGATGAATTTGAGGACAGGATTAAAACATGTTCTCACACGCGTTCCCACAAGCAGGGGGAAAACAATGCGGCTTAATTTGGTGGGGGGGGGTGAGGGCAGTCGGGGGAGGTATGTGAGTGTTTGTGGTCAGAACCTGCAGCTTTGCGGGTACCATTCACGCACACCGTGTCAGCTCATGCACAATTAACAAGTCGTGGACTGCGTTGACGACAACGGTGACGACGTCTGCGTCGTCCAATTGTCTAGACTACCCCACAAGACCAACTTCATGAGTTGATCAATGGACCAGCGTCTTAGTATCGCCTTCTACTTGAACCCATATTTAGGCCAATGAATCTGGATTCCAAGGCTATGTTAAGAATAGGAAACGGCTTATATTGTGAGGATGATCCGTCAGAAAAAGCAAAGCCTCGAGGCACAATAACATCACAAAACTGTGAAGAAGGATCGCTTTTCTGCATCAGAGTTGGGACCGGTCACGCTAACAAAGCACTTTCCAACATGTTTTGATAATGCCAGTCGAACAGACAGGGATCTTCAGTCAAATCTGTGCGATGTAATGCACGTGCGAGGGCAGGTAAGACACTCGTTTCCCTTTTATTGATCGCTCATGAATCGGGCTAAAACATCCATCCATAGGAAGTTGAAATGAATGGATGACATTTGCGGATTTGGCACTGAAATGCACTTGGTCTGTTCCTTAATCGTCATCAATGCTGATGACACCAAGCCACACTTTTCTTAAGTAAACATTTTGTACTTTCTGTGCCAAA